GAGACAGAAAAGTTAATTGGTGGGATGGGCTAGCTAAGGAAGAATAAGAAACAACCAAAGTCAGTAACTCAGTGTTCAATAAACCCAAGAATGCAAATTACTTTAGGTTGCTTGGTGATCTAGTAGCCAGAGCACTCCTGGAGTCAGGAAGCTCTGAATTTGAATCCTGACCTGGACATTTACCAGCTGCATAATTGTGGAGGTAATCTAGTAGTTATCTCATCTGTAAAATGGGGATAATAACAGCACCTTCCTCAAAGGGTTGTTACAAGGATCAAATGAAATAATGTATGTGAACTACGGTGCAAATTTTACATCATTGTATAAATGTTAGCTATGATTATTATTACTACTTGGAGAAACAACTCCCCAGTTGACAAAAACTGCTAAAGAACAAAACAAAACAAAACTGGAAGGCAGTCTGGCAGAAATTAGGTTTACATCACAAACCACAATAATGTCCAAATGGATATGTAACTTGAATGTTAAAGGTTATGTCGTAAATTTTTTTTTAAAGAAACAGATCAGATACCTTCCATAGCACGGCTAAGGGAAGAATTCTTAACCAAACAAGGGTCAGAGATGATCACAAATGATAAATTTTTATTATACGAAAGTAAAATGCTTTTGTACAAACAAAACCAATGCATCTAGGATGAGAAGGGAAGCTACTGATTGGGTAAAAATTTTAAAAAATAAACAACTTTGCATCAAATGTTTCTCATTAGGGTTAGATACATAAACTAACACAAATGTGTCAAGGTCACGAACTATTTCCTAATAGGTAAGTGGCTAAAGCACGTAAACAGTTCTCAAAAGAATTGCAAACTATTAACACTCACTTGAAAGATCACTCCATATTACTACTACTAAGAGAAATGCAAGTTGAAACAACTCTGAGGTTTCATCTCATTGGCAAACTGGCAAAGATGACAAAAGACAGGTACAGTCAATCCTGGAGGTTCTGTGGGAAGCCAGGAATATTAATACATTGTTGAAAGAGCTATAAATTGGTCTAATCATCCTGGAAAGGAATTCGGAATTATTCTAAGAACATGAATAAAATGTGCACATCCCTTGAGCCAGAGAGCCTACTGCTAGATATACATCCCAAGAAGGTTGGAGACAGAGAGGAAGAAACCATACACACCAAAATATTTAGAGCATCACATTTTGTGATTGAAAAGAGCTAGAAACAAAGTAGATAGCCACTGATTGGAGAATGGCTAAACAAATGTTTACATGAATGTAATGGAATATTATTGTATCCAAGGAAGTAGAGAAGACTTATACGAACTGATGTAAAGTAAACAAAGCAGATCCAGGAAAACAACATAGACAATAACTACAATAAGACAAATGAAAAAAAAAACCCAGCAAAACTACTGAAATAGAATGCTGTGCAATTATAACAATCAAGCTTGGCCCCAAAGAAGAGATATGATAACTTTTTCCCTTCTTTGGAAAGGCAGCAGGTTATGGGTATAGAACACTACAAACAATGCCAGATTGTTTCAACGTGCTTGTGAATTTTGCTGACGTTTCTCCCCTCCCCCTTTTATTCTGTTATATGGTATACCTCTCTAAGACAGGAAGAGGGGAGTGATACATGGGGAAATACTGGTGGTGTACCAATTAATATTTATTTAGAAGAAAATGAATCCAATGCAATTAAATGCTGGGTGATCATAATAACCAAGTTTGGCCAAGTGAAGAAGAAATGAGAAAAAGGACTTCTTTTCCTTTTTTGTATAGGTAGGGCAACATGGGTATGGAATTTGATTCCACTAATTCAGTGTTAATGAACTGATTTTTTCTTCCTTTTTTATTTTTTTGTTACAAAGGACTGCTTCTTGGGAAGGATACTGGGGAAGGATGTATTCAGAAATAAAGGTCATATAGAAACAAAAGGTAGCAATGGAAAAATTTTTTTTAAAAGAAATAAAGAAGTTTAGAAGACTGCAATTAAGAGAAGGAAGACAATTCTCCTCTGGGCATGTTGAATTTGAGATGCCAACAGGACATTCAGATGCAAGTGGACAGCAGGCAGCTGGAATAGAGTTCAAAAGAGATATCAGAGCTAAATCTCTAGACTGTGAAGTCATCTGTGCAGAGTTGATGACTGAATATACTGAGCAGAAGGCTTAAGTAGAGAGAAAGAAGAAGACCAAGAATGAATGATACCCACACTTAGGAGGTGGAAGGGTACTAGAAGAAACTGAACAAATGCTTGTTAAATTGAGTGATCTAGACAAGGAAACTGATTAGTTTGGTGGGCCTGGGGAGAACCGGGACAGAACTTTGTTATAGAAATCCAGGGAAGGGCAAGTATTCCTACTAGGCTTGTTCCTCTCTTCTCAAGGAATTTTGTACCTGACAGAACGAGATCAACTGCTGTGTTATGGAAACCAAGAGAGGAGAAGGGACTGGGTGGGGCTAATGATGTCAACAAATGCAGAGAAGGGACAGCTAGGTGGTGCAGTGGATAGAGCACCGGCCTTGGAGTCTGGAGGACCTGAGTTCAAATCTGGCCTCAGACATTTGACACTAGATGAGTGACCCTGGGCAAGTCACTTAACCCTATTGCCTAGCCAAAAAGAAACAAAAAAAAAAAAGGAAAGAAAAAATGTAGAGAAGGTCAAATAGGATGAACACTGAGAGAAAGCTGTCAGATTTGACAGTTAAGAGATCACTCACTGATAACCTTGGAAATAATAGTTTCAGTATAAGTTTGGTTGTGAAGCCAGATGGCAAATGGATGAAAAAGGAGTCCAGTTAAGGAAATGAGTATAGATGTCTTTTTCTAGGAGTTTACATTTAAAAGGAGAAGACACAGAATGAAAGCTTGAGGGAGTGGCAGCATCTAGTGAAGCTTTTAAGAATGGGAAAACAGGCATGTTTGTGAGAAGCAAGAGAGGAGCCAATATTTAGGAGACTGATGATGAGAGAGAAGAGGTGTAGAAGGATAAGTTCCTGGAAGAAACAAGGAGACTGATGATGAGGGAGAAGAGGTATAGGAGAACAGGCAAGTTCCCAGAAGAGACAAGAAGAGATGAGCATAAATAGAAAAGCTGGACTTTACAAAGTTAAGGGCCCCATCTTCCTAAGAGACTAGAGCAAAGAAGGAAAGAATGAGATGAAACAAGGTAGAGGAGTTTGGTGATATAACCCAGGGAAGAAGCTCATGTGGTTTCCTATTGCCTCTAGCATCAAATACAAATTCCTCTGTTTGGTACGTAGAAACCTTCACAAGAGGGCTCTAGCTCCCCTTTCCAGATTGATTACATATGACTCCTTATCATGCTAGCTGCCCCTCCTCACACAAGACAGCCCACCTCTCCCATCTGGCCTTTGCCTGGGCTATCCCCTCCTCATCTCCACCTCTTTGAATGCCCTGCTTCCTTGTAAGCTTGGTCAAGCATCTCCTATGACATGTAGCTTTTCCCAGAGCCCTCATCTCCTCCTAGGAAATTACTCTGGATTTATTTTGTATATATTTTAAATCTCCATATATGTGTACTCCCCATATATGTGTTAGCTTTGATGAAATGTGAACTCTTTGAGTCAAAGGCAAGGATGATTATTTCATTTTGTCTTTGTACTCCTCTCCCCTAATCTGGTGCCTGGGATAAATTATATGCCTAATAAAAGCTGATTAAGTGATAAGGGACACTATGGTGCACATTTTTTTCTATAAAACAGGAACTGGGATCCTCTCCTGAAAAGGACAGGCGAAAGGACAGCTTAAAGAGGAAAGAGAAAGTTTGGGACAGCCTCAATTTCATGTCTGTCAGGAAAGGATAAAAGTGAGGCCCCAGTAGAGATTAGATAACATAAATCTGCCACAGACCCAGATAGTGGTTGTACAATTTCCTCTACTGATATTTAGTAGCAAGTTAAGCAAAAGTAACACAGGATGGTGGGGATAACCCAAGGCTGAAATCTGGCAAGTCCTGTGTGGCAACAGGACAAGTGGGCAAGGGATTCCAATATAAAGGATAGTGGAGAGTTGAACTGGCTAACTGTACAGTTGAGATTTCAAAGGCAGAAAGTGTGGGAAAACATCAGTGACGAACTGAAAGAACAGGGAGAGGTAAAGAAGCTCGGAGGTCACAGTGAAGGCAAAGAACAGATTTAGGAGGAATGAAGCAAAAATAGAGATGACATAATAGGAAATTATTATCAGAGAAAGGAATATCAGAGTAGTAATTCATGGGTTAAGGTGAGACTGAGACAATACCTAGTCTGGTGAAGGGCAGAGGTGAAGATGTAAGTCAAGTGAGTTGAAGAGGTGGATGAAATAGAAGGCTAATGTGTTTGATGAGATATAAACATGTCTATTAGAGTATCCAAGTATGAAGGAAGGAATAGAAAGAAAAACCACGAGTAGGGTGCTGAACTCCTTAAGAAAGGAAGAATTAGCTGGAGACTAGTAAATACATGCAGCAAGAATCTGGACAAAGTGATGTAGATGGATTAAGTTAATCTTAAAGGAGGAAAGTTTGCCAAGTAATGGCAGTGGAAGGAAGGTCTAGAAGTAATACTAAGGAACAAAAAGTATCCCTACACTTCCTTGTGTCCCATTCTGTCAGGATACATGAAAGAAGCATTCAGGAGACAGAGGTCGCCAGAGCTCTAACATCCTCTGGGAGCAGCCAGGATCCCATGCATACAAGAAGACGGAAAATATGTGGGAAGAAAGGTCTAGGGTGAAGGGAACTGTAAGTAACAGCACATGGGCTCTAGGGAGCATAATACAGAGAGCAGAGGGACAAGGACCAGGAAAGGGCAGGGCTGAGGTGAAGGGGACAGAGCTAGGGAAAGAAGTTTTTGCTTTAGTGGACAGCAGTTCTGATTCTGGAGAGGAAGAGATGGAGGAAGTAACAGCTAGACAGAGCTTCTACTTTTTAGCTTCAGACATTTCTTGGTCTTCAAACACCAGGGAAGAATGGGGTTGAGAAGGAAAGGAGATCCAGTTAGGCATCTGGGTCAGCAAATACCTGGTGCTTGAGTCCCCAGGGGAACTCACACTTGGTGCCAGCTCCTTCGCAGCACTCCAAGGTAACAGATGATGATCATCCAGAGGACAATGTGCTTGTGGACAACATACTTGCTTCCTGTCTGACCTGTTATCTGTGGCTCTGATGATGAGAGGTCAGGCTTTTGGGTGCATAATGCTTCAGAGGCCTAAGGTAGTGCTGCTTGTCTCAGATGAAGCAGAAGAGAGGTTCCCTACACAAGGATGAATCCAGATCCAAGCAGCCTGTTGTGAAAGTGGGGATGGCTCAGTGAAAACATATCCTCCTTTCTGGGAAAGCTGCTTGAAAGATCCATAAGGTGCCTTTCTTCTCTACAAACTCATAATCCAAGACTGACCAGTACATCAAAGCACTTAATGAAAAGGAAGTGCAAAATCTGGTTGACACAGCCGATCGCTGCCAATGGCAGCCCGTCCACAGACAAAGAGAGTGACTAATATTCAAAAATCAGACATACTGCCCACTGCCTTTGGTTAGTTTGGACCACTTAAAAAACATACTCAATACCCACAGAAGGTAGGATGGGAAATGAGGGGAGGTGAGAAATCACAAACAAATCTGGCCACAGGGTGGCCAAATTCACATTTAAGTGCCTATTATATACAAAGCACTGTACTAGGGATGAAAAGATGAGACAGTCTCTGCCTCTGAGGGGTTTCTATTCTAGAGAGTGATTAAAAAATACACAAAAAGAAGTAAAAGGTAATTTGAGAAGAAGGGAGAGCACTCTAACAGCTGGAGAATGAAGGAAGGCTTCTCAGAAGGCCTGGCAACGAAGCTGAACCTTGAAGATCATGAAAAGCAGGGTGGAGGAAAAAATGCATTCCAGGCACTGGGAAATGACCAGTAAAAAGACTTGGAGATAAGAGATGGAATGCTATGTTGGCATGCTATAGATTAGTCCAGCTTGGCTCAAATGCAGACTATGTGAATGAGAGTAACGTACAATAAGCCTGGTTGGAGCTGAACAGCATGTGTGAACCCAGGAGAGACAAATGGTCAGATCTGTGCCTTAGACAGCTATATGGAAGGTGGAGTGGGGAGGGGACAGACTGTAGGTGGGGAGACCAATTAGGAGGCTGAAGGAGGATAATAATCCAGATAAGAGGTGCTGAGAGCCTAAACTAGGGTTGGGTCCCTGAGATAAATATGAAATGATGTGGAGGTTAAATTGACAAGATTTTGGTAGTTGAGGAGAATCAAGGATGCCTCTAAGGTGACTGGAAAGCCGATGCCATAACAAAACTAGGGAAGTGGGGTGTTTGGGTGCTTGCTGGTTCAGAGGGCAGAGGTGCTTTTCTCAGATGCTGTGGTGAAGCATGATGAAATGGGTTCCCCACAGAGGGATGAATCCAAATCTAAGATGACCTGCTGTGAACATGTGGAAGGCTCAAAACAAACATATCCTTCTTACTGAGAAAGATGCTTGAAATACCTAGAAGGGGCAAGAATATAAATGGTGTCAGTTTGAACATGTTGAATTCGAGATGATAACAGGACATCAAGATGAAGATGGTCAACAGACAACTGGTAACGCAAGGCAAGAGTTAAAAAGAGACACAGATATGTAAACCTGGGAATGTTCTGTTCTGAGATGACAATTGGATACATGGGAACTGATGAGATCACCAAAACAGAGAACATGGAGACAGATGGGAAAAGGTCCCAGCATACAGCATTGAGGTGCTCTGCTTATATAGAGGGAGGGAGGGAAGATGACCCAACAACGAAAATTGAGAAGGGCAGGTAAGAGGAGAAAAAGTCAAAAAAAGGGTCATGGAAACAGAGAGGAGAAAATGTCTAGAGGAGTGGGTAGCTGACTGTATCAAAAGCTGCAGAGAGGTCAAACAAGATGGGGACTCAGAAAATGCCACAGCGATAAACAATTAGGAAATCAACTTGTTCCAGAGCAATTTTAGCAGACTGTGGATTCAGAAGCCAGACCACAAGTGATTGACAAGTGAGTAGGGAGGCGAAAAAAATGGAGGAAAAATCAAATGAAGGTTTTTTTAAGAATGGGGAAGACAAAAGGCATATGGCATGCTTAGGTATCAGAGGAGAACTTAAGAAGAGGCTTTACACACTTCCTCATTTGTAAAATGAGGGTGTTGAACAAGAAGTCCTCTATAATGAGGGTTGTACTACCTTTGGCAGTTTCCTATTGCCTCTAGGATAAAACAGAAACTGGCCTTTCAGGCTCTCTGAAATCTACCTTTGAGCTACTTTTATATTATCATTCCACGTAGAAGGAGCAATGTCCCAACTCTTATATCCATATAAGTTACACTAGTTTTTTCTTAAAAAGGTACTGAGGCTGAGGGGGGCTTTAAGGCTTAGGATGGGAGTGGGAACTGCATGTGTTCAGGGGGTGGAAGTGGTGGTGGGCTGTGAACACAATTTGTGAGATACCTACAAACTCTTTGGAGTTCACTGTTCAAAAGTGTAAAGGAACCTGAGGAGCAATACCAAGTTAGACACAGATTACCCACTTCAGTTACTTTTCTATGGAGTCTGTTCATTCTTAGCAGAGCACCGTAAATACATACTGATGTTGCTAAATGTAGACAGCGGTTAAAGAAGAATTTTCCAAATGAGTTTATAAATTCACTGTGGAACAGAAAAAGAGAAAAGAGAAGAAAATAACACAAGACAGGTGGAAGGAGTCAAATAAAAAAAAAAGAGAGTACCGCAAAAGGTTAAAATAGCCAAAATTCCTAGAGCAAAGAAGAAATATCTAACAAGCGTATATGCAGCCTTGCAACTTCTGAAATTGACATCTTTAAGTACAGTTTTTTTGCTGAGGAAATTGTCATTTGGGGAGACTTCACAAATAACATTACTGATGAAATGCAGAAGTGGCCTGGATTATGGTGGACAGTGACAGCACTGAGCATCTGAGAGAGGTAAAAGAATAAGTTTCATAATCTGTCTTTAGAAGGCCTCATTTCTAAAATATATAGAGAATTAAGACAAATTTATAAGAATACAAGCCATTCCCCAATGGATAAATGGTCAAAGGATATGAACAGACAGTTCTCTGATGAAGAAATTAAAGCTATCTATAGTCATATGAAAAAATGCTCTAAATCGTTATTGATTAGAGAAATGCAAATCAAAACAACTCTGAGGTACCACATCACACCTATCAGATTGGCCAACATGACAAAACAGGAAAATGATAAATGTTGGAGAGGATGTGGGAAAATTGGAACACTAATGCATTGTTGGGATGGAGTTGTAAAATGATCCAACCATTTCAGAGAACAATTTGGAACTACGCCCAAAAGGCTACAAAAATGTGCATACCCTTTGATCCAGCAATAGCACTTTTAGGGCTATATCCCAAAGAGATCAAACAAATGGGAAAAGGACCCACATGTACAAAAATATTCATAGCAGCTCTTTTTGTGGTGGCAAAGAGCTGGAAATTGAGAGGATGCCCATCAATCGGGGAATGCCTGAGCAAGTTGTGGTATATGAATGTAATGGAATACTATTGCGCTATAAGAAATGATGAACAGGCTGACTTCAGAAAAACCTGGAAAGACTTATATGGTCTGATGCTGAGTGAAGTGAGCAGAACCAAGAGGACTTTGTACACAATAACAGCCAGGTTATGCGATGACTGATATTGTTAAACTGAACCCTTCTCAGCATTACAAGGATCTAAGACATCTGCAGAGGCGTCGGGATGGAAAATGCTGTCCACATCCAAAGAAAGAACTCTGGAAGTTGAATCGCTATCACTTATTATTACCTTCTGTTGAGTTTTGTTTCATCTTTCTGATGGTTCCTCCTATTGGTTTTAACTTTTACTTACAACTTCACTAATGTGAAAATATATTTAATAGGAATGTAAATGTAAAGCCTATATCAGATTGTGTGCTGTCTTGGGGAGGAAGGGGGAGAAAAATTTTTAACTCAAAAGAATATGGAAGTGATTGTTGATAAATCAAAATAAATTAATAAAATAAAAAAATAAATCTGTCTTTAGAGAAGGAAAGAGAAAATTCTTTTAAAATAACTGTAAACAATGTAAAATATTTGGGCAACCTGCCGAGACAAACCTAGGAACTATATGAACACAATTACAAAATACTTTTCACACAAATAAGGTCAGATCTGAACAACTGGAAAAATATTAATTGTTCTTGGACAGGTCGAGCCAAGATAATAAAATGACAATTTCACTTATGTTAATTCAGTGCCATATCAATCAAACTACCAAAAAATTATTTTCTAGAGCTAGAAAAAAATCATAACAAAATTCACAAGGAGGAACAAATGGTCAAGAATATCAAAGGATTTAAGGAAAACAAATGTGAAGGAAGGTGGCCTGGCCATTCCAGATCTCAAACTGTATTATAAAGCAGCAATCATCAAAACTATCTGGTATTGGCTAAGAAACAGAATGGTGGATCAGTGGAATAGGTTAGGTACACAAAACACAGTAGTCGATGAATACAGTAATCTACTGTTTGATAAACCCAAAGACTCCAGCTTTTGGGACAAGAACTCACTATCTGACAAATACTGCTGGGAAACTGGAAAGCAATATGGTAGAAACTAGGCATAGACCAACATCTTATACTATATACCAAGATAAAATCAAAATGGATACATGATTTAAACATAAAGGATGAGACCATAAGCAAATTAGGAGAGCAAGGTTCACCTGTCAGATCTATGGGGAAGGAAAGAATTTATGACCAAACAAGAGACAGAGAGTATTACTAGATGTAAAATGGACAATTTTGATTATATTAAATTAAAAAGGTTTTGGCACAAACAAAACCAAGATCAGAAGGAAAGCAGAAAGCTGGGGAACAATTTTTACAGCAAGTAAACTGAAATGGAAAATCTGATAAAGTCCTTGTTTCTCAAATATATAGAGAACTGAGTCAAATTTATAAGAATGCAAGTCACTACCCAATTGATAAATGGTCAAAGGGTAGGAACAAGCAGTTTTCAGGCAAAGAAATCAAAGCCATCTATCATCATATGAAAAAATGCTCTAAATCACTGCTGATGATTTAATCTGAGAAATGCAGATTAAAACAACTCTTAGGTATCACCTCACATCTACCAAATTGGCTAATATGACATAAAAGGAAAATAAATGTTGGAGGGGATATGAGAAATTGGGACATTAATACAATGTTGGTGGAGTTGTAAACTTATTCAATTATCCTGGAAAGCAATTTGGAACTACACCCAAAGGGCT